TAGTTCTGTTGTACATTTAAAGGTTGTTGGAAGTTTATTTTATATTATACTGGTACCTATAAACAAGTGTGGTTAACCTGTATACAAGGTGTTGTATATTTGTTAATATTCTGTAAGATGGAGGCAGAGCATTCTAGTAGTGGCTCCAATATATAATAGTTTTGGCCCAGTTAGAGGATTTTGTAAGGGTATGGCATATANTATCACAAACCATGTGATTTACAGCTTTATGAGGTTAAATAGTGCTGTCCACAGATTTGATATATCTAGTGTGGACGAGTTACACAGTGACATTGTTGAGATGTAAAGGGATTCCCATATGAATAATGTTTTTGATCATCACAGTGCTTTAGAAGACCAAAGTTGCTTGAATTTAGTCTCTATCACTTTTTTAGCTAGTTCTGTTGTACATTTAAAGGTTGTTGGAAGTTTATTGTATATTATACTGGTACCTATAAACAAGTGTGGTTAACCTGTATACAAGGTGTTGTATATTTGTTAATATTCTGTAAGATGGAGGCAGAGCATTCTAGTAGTGGCTCCAATATATAATAGTTTTGGCCCAGTTAGAGGATTTTGTAAGGGTATGGCATATACCCCAGATTTTTCATAGACTGTAACTTCATCTCTATCATTACAAAGTATCCTACAAAACATGGGCTGGGGTGTTAGTGGCAAAATATAGCCAAATTTCTTCAAAACTCGACAAATACATAATGAAGAGGGATCCAGGTACAGAATGGCTGGTGTTATAAAAACCAACTTTTTCTTACAATACAAAGTGAATGGTGGAAATAATGTGCCTTTGACCTGGTTGACTAGGTGTTTGAACTTGACCAAAAAATACCCAGTACTGCAAACTGCCAATTCAAGAAGGAAAATCTCATTATCTATAAATGATTGAGTGGAAGGATATAAGTGATTTACTTACAAAAGCACAAATTGCCTATAGGTTTGCCTCTATCTGCCCTTTTGTCAGAGTTAGTCACGAGAACCATAGAGTTCAAAATTTTTAGATTCCCTCTCACCATAAATTATCCTCTTCTATATTTGAGGTATGTTGAAAATATTCTATTAGCATGGGAAGACACCAATAAAGAGTTACTGGATTTTATACAATTACTGTCAGTTATTTTCCCTGACTATTTCATTTACTAAAGAGGAGATCTCCTTTTTGAGTCTGATCATACACAGATCCCATTGAGTTCCTACACAGGCTAACTACAGGAATGGCTGTAGAAAGACCCAGTAACCTACTCCAGTATTTATCACCAACAAAATTGTATGGATTGACAAAACACAAATGCTATGAATATAGTACCTGAAAATGGGACCCCTAGGCTGGATGGTACTTCCTTAGTGACTAGGAAGGAGCAAAGGTCAACACTGAGTAACTTGATAAATTATGACGCCAATGGGGTAAACTCTAAGGAAAGTCCACTGGTTGATGCAACCCCTGCCAAAAGGTGTGGCCCATGCTTTGAAAGGAGGAAAATGCTCAAAATTGGCATCTGGAATGTCCAAAGTATGAACCTAAACAAGCTAGATGTTATCAAACAAGAGAAGCTCAGATTAAAGCTTGACTTACTTGGTGTTAGTCAACAAGAAATGGTTTTTTTCAACTCAGACAACTTCACTATTTACTACTCTGGAAATGTTTTCATGAGAAAAGGAGTAACTTACATAGTAACAAAGAAAATAACAAGATCTTTTGAGTGTTTTAGAACTATAAATGATCTTATACTGACCATTTGTATTAATGGGAAGCTTTGTCATACCATGGTAATGCAGGTATATACCCCCATCGCTGATGCCTCCCTAGAAGAGATGGGATGATTTCTACTCACAAATTCAAAAAAAACTAAATGAAACACCATGAAAAGACATCATCATCATCATCATCATCATCACCGGTACTTTAATGCAAAAGTAGGAAACAAACCAGAACCAGGAGTCTGTGGACAGGAAAATCACGACAAAATCATGAACACAGAGTTCTGCCAACCTAAACAATGACTTTACACATGGACTTTCCCAAATGGCTTACTCCAGAATCAGAGTGACTATCTCTTGTGTGACAGAAAATGGGCTAACTCAATACATTCAGTTAAAACTTTCCCTGGTGCAGACTGGTTCTGATCACCAACTACTAATTGCCAAATTCAAACTTAAACTTTGCAGTACCAAAAGACCACTAATAAGATACCATCAATGTATGCAGTTGAAATTATAAACCGCTTAGAAGTGTTGGAAAATCCAAACAGTAAACCTGATGATCTATGGGAAGAAATAAAAAATCATATCACTGATGCAGCTAAATACCACATTCCCCTTAAAAAAGAGTTCAAAAAAATCTAAATGGCTCACTGAAGAAACAACTGAAATTGCTAATCTTAGATGGGAAGCTAAAGCTGCTGGGAAGACAGAGGAAGTTAAAACACTAAATACTGAGTTTCAAAGCGTAACAAGAAAAGATAATGAAAACAACTGGGCTAACTAATGCAAAGAGATAGAAGAGGCCAATGCAAAAGGGCACACTAGATCTCTTTTTCCCATGTCAAAAATACATGCACTTCATTTGCTCATAAACAAACGATGATAAGGAATCAAGATGGCAAGATACTGCATGACAAGATAACTATCAGGAATTGCAAGAATATATTGTGAAACTTTATGCTGACAACAACCATCAGCATCACCTACAGCCAGTTGCAAACCAGGAAAATATAGAAAATGAGCCTTCTGTAACAGAAACAGAACTTCAATGGGCTATAAGCAATTAGCAAGAAACAAAGCACCATTGATAACTTGCCAGCAGAACTGCTTCAAGCAGTATCCAAAAGAACTCTACTCACTTTGCCACAGGATCTGGGAAACTAAACAATGGCCCAAAGATTTAATTTTAAATTACTTCTTAATACATGTAAATTACCTGATTTCGAATATTCTGTAAACAAATCTATTTGTATCATCATATATTCATTCATATTTTTTGAATTATTTAAATTCATGAAATATCAATTAATATTTTTCTGGGATGTTAATATAACAAATAGTGAATAGAAAACATTCAATTTTTAACATAAAAGTTGGTCGTTTTTTTAACATTCAAATATTCAAAACAAATTGTTTGATTTCATCAATATCATTCTAATTTTTATTTCTTTATTTATTCCTATAGTATAATCTACTCCTATCATTTGGTTTTCACTGTTACTTTTATTGAATTTTTGTGTTTTTGTTAAATGTATTGTTTGATTGATAAATATTTTCTAATTATTCAATTATTTTTCTAAGATATTCAGAATGTTTTCATCAATAATTTTTATTATAATCCAAAAATTCTTTATCATCACAATGAGGCCTAATACTAAAATTAATAAATTGGATTTTTAAGTTTATTCTCCAAATTTATATTATATTAGGCATTAAATTTTTTAAATTAATAAGTCAAGTCTACTATTCCTTATATCTTTTCTGTAGTACTCCAAGATGTATTGGAAATCAATTTTCCATATCTATCAAATGATGGAAATATTGAATGTAATTTTGAGAAGTGACAAAAATTGTAATGTCTCATTATTTTTATAACAGATAAAGATTTACTATCTAAGATTAACAAGTTAATTAATAATTGTTATTTTATAATTACTTAGACTGTTTCCAAAATAATCAATAAATAAATAAATAAATATATATATATATATTCAATTTTTTTAAACTGCATGATGTTTAATATAAATGATGTAAATACAGTAGTACCTTGGAACTCAAATTCAGTTTATTCCTAGAGGTCATTGAAGTTCTAAAAGTTTGAGTTCTAAAACAATTTTTCCGATAAGAAATAATGTAAAATGAATTAATCTGTTCCCAAATCCTACAAATGCCCGTTTTAATTGCTTAGCAATAAATTTCTTTTTTACCTCGGTCATTGCTCTTTCAAGCTTTCTCTTAGGTTCTGTAGCCTCAACATGCTTCTTAGGTGCTATGGCGAATGCACATGAGCGTTATTAAAAATAAAAACACAAAAAAACAGCAAGTAAAAATCAAGTTATGAGAGAATGCTTTGAGAACGAGGGCAAAAGATAAAATTCAACAACTGAGGAAAGGATATGTGAATGGATCATGGAGGCTTAGAAATTAATTTCACAAACAATAATTGTGAGAAATTTTTAAAATAAATAGGAATTTCCAATTCTATGGATGGTTCTGAGGATGATTTGATCTGGCAGGTTGCTGAAAGTAATGATGACAATGAATCCATGACATCGAACAGAGAGAGTGATGCATCAGACAAAGAAAATTAAGGTATGTTGATAATTCATTTATATTTTGATTCAATATAATGAATAGTAGAATTAATTACCTCATTTTATGATTTCTGTTCAAATTTTTAAAGTTACTGCAGTCATTGTTAACGTAATTTTTATTTTTAGTCTACACATCTATCAAAAACGATTGCACTCTGATGTGAGTTAAAATATTCAGAATATTTATGCAATGTTTTTAAAATATTAAAACTATCTTATAAAATCATGACTTCTATCAGTTAATCAAGATTTCTTGTAAGAATAAATCTAAAATGTAGATCTTGGTCTACATTTGAAATTTGTCTTTGTTTACATGTTTTTTTTTTTTTGGCAGAATTTCTACTAAAATAAAATTTGAGTACATTAAAATAAAAGGGGAAAAGGTTAGTGTTGAGCCACAAGGTATGAAAAAAGAGAGGCCATTAGATATAGCAACTCCATTTTTAAATTGGCTTAGTATATTGGTCAAACTTTTTATTAGCATTTTTTTAAATTATTTTTCTACAGTTCCATGGATACAAGGGTACAAGTTTGTAATTGCAATTTAAAATCAACATATAATCCACCCCATAATATAACCAACCCCTTTGTTCAACTTGTCCTTTAAATACAAACAATTTATGATTAATATGCACAAAAGTACAGTAAATTATTTATATTAATATAATTTTAATATATTTAAACCATCACCTTATAAGGAGATGCAGCATAAAGTGCTTGCTGAGATGGATCTAAAAACATATTAGTTAGTATAGGATTTCCTTGATCAACAATAGATTCTTCAAATTCTTCTGCTTCTGTACTTTTTGTAATTAATAACTGAAATTTTATAAAATTTTTTGAAATTAAATATAATTCATTTAAAATATAACTAAAGTAATAAATAGTAAGCTTAAGTGTATATCTGTTTCTAAATATAAAACCAGGATAAATTAGATCAAATGCATGGGAGGACAGATTATCTAAACAACATATCTAAATTACTCACTCTTTGTAAAATATATAAATATTTCAGAGGATATATTTATATAAAAGAATAGAAATACTTTGGAACTTTGGAGACAGAGAGTTATAAATATGGACTAAATGTTTCTAATGTTTTACTAGTTTTCTAATAAATAAAGACTGTTTTCAATTTAACAAATAATCTTCATATTTATCAATAGTAATGTATTATAAAGTACTACTGTTTGTATCTCAAGAGAGAATCTTTGAATCTATTTGTATAAATATGATATAATGTGAGGAATTNATAAATTAGATCAAATGCATAGGAGGACAGATTATCTAAACAACATATCTAAATTACTCACTCTTTGTAAAATATATAAATATTTCAGAGGATATATTTATATAAAAGAATAGAAATACTTTGGAACTTTGGAAACAGAGAGTTATAAATATAGACTAAATGTTTCTAATGTTTTACTAGTTTTCTAATAAATAAAGACTGTTTTCAATTTAACAAATAATCTTCATATTTATCAATAGTAATGTATTATAAAGTACTACTGTTTGTATCTCAAGAGAGAATCTTTGAATCTATTTGTATAAATATGATATAATGTGAGGAATTGAATCCTACCCTTTCCATTATCTCATTATTATTCTTTTGTATATTTTGTTTAGTTTGGGGATTTTATTCAGTTCTGAATGATAAAATTTACACTCTCTTTTCAAAATCACCTAAATGAATGATTTTGAGACTATCATCATTCTCAAAAATTACAGTTAAATATCTAAGGTTAAGATGATCTCAAACTGAGTTAAAGAAAAGTTTTCTTAATCAAATTATCCTGATCTATAAAAGAAAAATGTCAGAGATGATGACAGTGTGGTGGTGTGGAGGACAAAAAAGGATGACAAAGAAGTAACCATAAATTAAACAGGATATTTATTCAACTACAGCTACTTAGTCCTTCGTACACCTGGTTCGTTTACACTAAACACACTTGATCCCAAACTATAGTACGTGCACAAGTTCGAATCCGTCCGACAAAATTCTATATTTTCACAAATAGAACACGTGCTCGCGACAATAAAAAGATTATGGTTTAAGATACTACAACTACTTAAATCTACCTTAATCTAGCTTATATGCTAAGGAAGAAGGGTGAAGAAATTAAGAGATACGAAGAGAAGAGACAAGTATAAAGGACAGATTTGTGGGGGTACCCGGGTAAACTTGGGAGTCTCCGATCTTCTCTATATCGGTACTTGAATTAACTCAATTTCCTTCCTCTTGATTCCGTCTCTTGAGAATTCGGGAGCGTTTTTTCTTGAGGTCTTAATCTGGGTGTCTTTCTAATTTTCGTCCGTTCGCAGACGACTTCCAAGCCTTCTCCGTTTGTCCCACTAGGTGACAAACCCTTTGCTTGCTGTTTCCTACGTCTGTACACCTCGGACGCTGACCCGAAAGTGTCTTGTTCGTTTTCCTGATGGCCTCAGGGCTTCTTAATGTCCCCTTTGTCTTCTCCCCTTTGTCCTTGGACAAAGGTCGTCCCCCACCCACAGAAAAGGAATAGGTTAGAAAGTTCTAGAAACACGTTAAAGACAAAGGAATTTAGGAGAAATAAAATTTATATCTACCCCTATTTACAAAACCATGGCGTACCGCCACAACAGTAATATAAACAAATAAATAAAAGCAATTTATTTGTTTTCAGCAAATAATTATTATTTATACTATATTGTATTACTTTGCATTATCCTTCTTGCATTTACTTTGCATTTTCAATAACCAAACATTTTCTTATTTAAATAATAAGAAAATGTTTGGTTATAGAAAATGTAAACAAGAAAGATAACAGTACAGTAATATAATGTCACTTTATCTTAGAGTGTAAATAGTGTGACCGTCGGCCATATTGTTACATATTTTTTTCATTAGTTTGTAAGATAGTTTTTAATAGTTCCTTATTCCCTTTGTTCTCAGTCTGTCTAGAACTTTCTTTTCATTTCCTTTCGTCCTTCTGGATGAGACCACCAATTCCAAGAACTGAAGACAATGGACCACTAAACCCCAGAACTAAAGGCAATGAGTTACCAGTTCCAAGAACTTGAAACAAAGGGGGGGGGGAACAAAGACCTGAGGGCTGACAAGAATAAAGAATGAGTTAGTCTGGATTGGACCTTCGTGGTAGTCAGAAGAGAGAGAGAGAGAGAGAGGAGTGCTCTAGATTGGAGGTGACTTGTGACTGAATAATTCTGAGTGAAGGATATTTTTGGTCACTAAGGATGAATAGAGAACTCTAGGGTCAGTGTTGGATTGAAGTCCCGACATTAGAAAGAGAGAGAAGAAGATCTACGTCTATATATAACCGTGAAATCCAAATCGGTGATCATCCAGTGACCATGAGAAAATCCCAAAACACCGGGTATTGTGATCTTTCCTCTTTCCTGTCTACTGTCTCATAGAATCTGCTATGCCTTTAGGTATAAGTTGGTGAGTAAGTGTTAGATTTTAGTTCCTGCACATGTTCTATTGTTGCGAATTTACTTGTGGTACTAAACTAACCGATTACTGTGTATAGTGTAAATTTAGTGGAGCGGAATCCAAAAAGAACTTAGTTCACGAGCGGCAAATAAAATACTTGTGATTAAAAGACTTTACTAAGTATTCTTTGTGCTAGTCTATTCGGTAATCTATACACATGTCGCTCACGAACATCACAATAGAAGAGTACAAAATTCCAATATTGAGATAAATGGATGAGTCATTAAGAGTTAGTTGCATGACTTTTAATCTGAAAGTTGAATGAAATTTAATCTTCAGAATTACCCTTAATGCATTGCCAAGTGTAAGTATTTGAAATAAATTACCAGTTAACTTACCAGCCAAGTTTATTCTAATCTGATAGAATATAATTTCAAGAACTGATTTTGATTTAAAAAGATATTGTTTCAATTGTCAGAAATTAATCTTACTTTATATAACAACAATTAATCATTCCTCATTATAAAGTACAGTACAGTACATATATTAATAAAATAAAATATTGTAGATAATAAGCTATCTATCAAATCTACTGATATATATTTTCATCTACACTTCAACCTATTATATGCTTTGGCTAGTGTTACCACCAATCCAGTTTTTACCCGGACAGTCCAGGAATTGACTCACTGTCCGGGTGAACTATTAGTTTTGTCCGGGAATTTTGTGCGCAACCTGTCAACCTTTTTTTTTTTTTAAACTTTTACTTGTACAAATTGTACACATCTCCAATATCTAATACAGCTAAGTCATCTTCTGTATTTCTTCTTTCTTAATTTAGGTTACCTACATTACTCCTACCCAAGTCTCCCTAGTCCCTAACTGTAACTATGTTATTCTTTCCATTGTAAAATGACATTGCGCATTCATCAGGAACTTCTGTTCAAACAAACCTGACCTGTCGTCCAGGTCAGCAATTTTAAAAAGATGGCAACACTAGCTTTGGCTTACTCATTTTATGCTCCTCCATCTTGTTTATTGTTACTCTTGATAACATGAAACTTAGTTGTAAGACCAAAAGGCTGGACTATTGACTACATAGTTCTCCAATAAGCATGATGGAGAACTATCTAGTTAAAACATATTTTTGTAATTTGACAAATATAACAATTCATCATTTGTTCAATGTAGTCATTGTTGTAATATGTATTTCTGCTTTAATACTTTTGTAACAATACACTACATATAATCCAAATAAAGTTCTTTAAACGTATGTAACTGACAAATGAAGCATCTCCATATAAAATGTCATTTCACTTTTTCATTTCTTGGTTTGGTTTGATTTGGTTCATGGGATGAGGCAACAGAACACAAAGGCAATCTGCCAAAAAAGAATGCCTTCTGAGAGGATTTTCTATACAAAATAGGCCCTATTTAGGTGTTGATAAGTAAAGAAAATCTGGAAAATGCCATGTGGCCAGCCCACTGGTTAGGCATAGGCTTGGGACAAATTACCAGTATTCAAAGATTTTAACCACTTAGCCACCAAGATTTTCTTCATTTTTTAATAAAAAATATTAGGAAAAAGTAAGAAAAAAATTAGGCATTTCCATTTGAGTTACTTTCCTTGTAAGCAATCTAAATACTGTAATTTCCTGCATATAATCTACAGTGGAATATAATACATGTGCAATTTTTTGACAAAAAGCTAATCATATAATCCATAGAGAATAACTTTTCATTGACTAAAGCAGTTTATTGTCATATAATCTGTACATAAATTCACATTGTCAACTATTTGCTTCTTGGTGTATCAGCAATGATATGATGCAATTTGTAAGGACATTTAATAATTAAAAAATTTAGGTGACAATGCTTACATAATTAGGTCAATGTCTGGAATTCAACAGAGTTTGGTTCATGTTGTCTTTGAAAGTTCTTTCCTTTCTCTTTTCATGTTGGCGCAGCCCTGGGGCATTGGCGAGTCAGTCTTTGTTGGTGTTAAAATTAACTGCACAAAATGTCAAGGAACTGGGGATGGTGCCTGCATCCGATGATCTGGAAAGGATGAAGCCCTTCTGTTCTTTTTGAACTAGTTATCAAAAACTCCTGACTTGGTTCATTGCTTATTGGCTAGACCTTTTTCTCCTTGCTTCTCAATTGGTCTCCCACCTGTCTCCAGGTGTAAATGAAGCTCTGTTCAGGGCATGGGTCAGCTAGAGATGGTCTATTCGACACCATCTCTTAGACTCTGATCGCAGTTTGTTGATGACTATGACACCCATGCTCATTCTAATATTTTTCTAGTTTCATTTTACTTTCTAAACTGCATTTTAAGTTTTAAATATTTCCATTTTTAATTTTCTTTATCTAAAATTTTGTT